ACTCCTCGGCAGGAAGACTGGGCAATTTACTTCCGTAGAGATATGCCTCAGAAATCCAAGGAGGGGTCCCTGTGAGTGGGATCCGACTCAAAGGCAGGATGTTGGGTTTTCTTTCATATATATATGTGTAATCTCTGCACATACAATTTCTGGAAGTGGAATTTCTGGACAAAGGAGTCTTGAGGGTTGTGCTGCGGCATTTTAAGCCCCTCCCCGCCACTTGGCACCTTCCAGTGCCCCACTTCCCTTTGTGGTTCTCTCCAGCAGGGGCCTCGGGTTTGGGGACTGTGACACGGGGCTTCCACCTCCCCTTTTGGCCCAGCAGCTCCTGGCACCCAGCCCTGCAGCCTCGGGACACTCACCCGGGCGAAGCCAACCTCTCCGCGCGCCAGCGACACGTCGTGGCTGTAGGCGCGCACGGTGACGAAGCCCACGTAGGAGACTTGGCGGCTGCCGCTGCGGTGCTCGTTCTTGGCCTCCACGCTGAAGGCCGGCAGGCTCTGGTCCAGGCCGCACAGCTCGGCCAGGGTGTACGAGCACGTGCCCATCAGGTCGTAGCGACGGCCATCGAAGGTGGTGTAGTGGGGGTCCCCCTGGGCGCGGCAGGTGGCCGTGGGCTCCGGCGAGCACGTGGCCTTCCCGCCTGCCACCTGGCAGCGCTGCCCACGTTTGCATTTGACGCTGTCGCAGGAGCTCTCTTCCGAGAGTACGGCTGGGAGGGAGGAGAGGATGGAGACAGGGAGACTGAGTCAGAAGCACGTGTGTGTGTGTGTGTGTGTGTGTGTGGCGAATTCTGGGGTTCTTCCTCCGTGGGGAGTTTGGGCAGCTCACTCACAATTGCCCATCCTACAGGTGGGGAAACTGAGGTCTAGAACCTCACAGGGAGTGAGCTGCCCAGGGTCTGACTTGACCTGATTTTCTGATCCCCTAGTTAAACGATGGCACATAACAACAACAACAACAACAGTTAAACGTCTAGTTCTCTGCAGCCCAGCTCCACCCACAAGAGCAGGAAGGCAGTGAGGAAGGCGAGGTAGAAACCGTCATGAAAAATCAAAACCTAACTCACTGCCATCCAGTGGATTCTGACTCATAATGACCCCTACTGAGCTTCCAAGGCAGTAAATCTTTATGGAAGTAGATTGCCTCATCTTCCTTCTGCAGAGCGACTGGTGAGTTTGAACTGCCCACCTTCTGGTTAGCAGTCAAATCCAACCATTATAGAAATGTTAATTCCTTTTTGTTCTCTCCCTGTTTCCCCATCTCCCAACAGGGATCCACATGCTAAGGGAACTTCAATTTTTTCCTTAAGGGCAGAGATAGTGGGAACACAGAGGCTGTTCTCGAGGTGGGTAGTGGAGTTAGACTGTCTAGGTTTGAATCCTAGCTCTACCAATTAGCCGTGTGATCCTGGACAAGCTATTTAAATGCTCCGTGACTCAGTTTCCTTGTTTGTAACTTGAGGTGATAGATAATACCTTATTCATAGAAATATGTTTTAGAGGGAGGGATGTTGTCAGGTTTAAATGAGTTAAAACATAGGCAGGGGTTGGAACATTCAGTGCAGGTGTTAATTGAGTGTTAGCGAGGGTAGTTAATCACCCGTCCCTCCCCCATTCTACCTGGTGTGTCCTCACTGTCAAGGCAAAAGTGGTCCCTTGAAGTTGGGGTCTTCAATGCCCTAAAAAAACCCACTGCCGTTGAGTCGGATCCGACTCATAGCGACCCCTCCTTGGGTTTCCGAGGCGATATCACTACGGAAGTAGATTGCCTAACCTTCCTTCCGAGGAGTGGCTGGTGGGTTTGAACGGGGGCATGTTTTTGCCTGTACCGGAAACTGCAGTGTCTAAGTTCCTGCTCTGGGGTGAGGGTCCACAAAGGAAGAAAACCACTCCTCCTCCATCTGCCTCCTAGTTTTCAAACCTCCTGCCCTCTGACCCCCCATGCTTAGCCGTACGTCACCCTGATCGCTTTCTGGATGCCTGTCTAAATGCCTTACAAATGTTAGCTCATTGAACCTCACTCCAGCCCTGTGGGGTAGGTGCAGTTACTGTCCCCACTTTACAAATGTGGAACTGAGGCCCAGAAAGGTCAAGTTGCTTTGCCCAAGATCACACAAGCAGAGCTGGGATTTGAACCTGGGCACTCTGGCTCCAGTCCCCGTGCTGTCAAACACTCCGCTGCACTGCCTGGTGGCAGCCCCCCAACAGGCTTGACCCCGAGGTCACACACAGGGTCCTTTGGATTGACTATATTAAGACATGTAAAGCCCGCAGGAAGGTCCCTGGTGTACACGCTCCCTTCTGTATGGTAGTCATCATTATTATTATATGTTTAGACCACCTGAGTTTGACGTAAACAGTCCTGTTGGCTATGGGACAAGGGGGAGTGATTGATTGATTTTTGTTATAACTGTATCAGTTGTTAAAATATCAAAATACTTCTCAAACTCGTTCGAATGAAGCTGCCGAGCTGAGTCCTCAGAGATGCCCCCGTCTTGGTACCCTGGCTCCCCCTTTTCCTAGTCTCCCCATAAACCAATTGACGGGTGATGCTGGACAGCATGGGGGCTTCTGGGACCCCACTGCAGGGCTCTGGATGAAGTCTCTTCTGACTCGTTGGTGCCCTGGGTCACACCGGGAGGGTGGGCGAGGCTGGGAAGTCGTAAGGCAGGAGGACAGGGAGGGCCGAGTTGAGGCAAGAAAACCCCAGAGGAGCAAGGAGGTGGGAAAGGGGAGAAGTCAAGAGAGGCTACAGAGGGGTCACCAGGTGCCCAGGGCCATGCGTCGTTTCCCATCACTCACTTCGGCCACAGGCAGCTGCTGTCCCGAAGCCCGTAGCATCTGCCAGCCCGAAGGTGATCAGCCCGAAGTTAGTGGTGGCCTCAGCCATGTGGGTCTTGTCAGCAGTACCGAGGTCCACCTCAGCATATGAGAACTCGCTGCCTGGCACAGCTGTCCAGGTGACCTTGGCCCCTAGTACCTGCCCATCCATGCTCAGCCCCTCTGTAGCCTTCGTTGGTGCCACCACCAGGGCCAAACTCTTAATGCCTGGCACAGTCTTGACCACATAGGCAGGGCAGTAGGCCGCCACATCTGGAATCAGGATTAAGTAAGGGTCATAGGTCACTCCATCCCTTGTGGCACCTGTGCCAAATAGCAAGACCTGGATGCCTACATCAGCAGTCAGATAGAGTGGGTGAGATGGCCGGATCTCAAACTCTACCACCTCACCTGACTGAAGCCCACGGGAGCCGACAGTGCCCCCCTGGTTGTAGGTCAGCTTTGTGGCCTGGCTGGCCACAACGTAGACTAGATCATAGCGGGCTTGAGAAGCCAGAGAGGGCACCACATAGCGGGTGCCCCAGGCGGATGTGGGTAGCAGCTGCTCTACCACATAATTGCAGTTCGTGTGTTTATGGGCACAGCTGTGGCCAGAGAACACAGCAACAGGGTCACTGGAAGTGACTTTGGACCCTGAGAGATTAGCCGTGCTCTGTAGCTGGGCCACAGCAAAGGGCTCCAGGGTCACACTCAGGACACTGCCCGATGGGTAGAACTTGCCCTGGAATGTCACTTGCCCCTTCAGCTGGATACTCACTGAGGCACCTGCAGCCCCAGCCACCACAGCAAACTCCTTGAGATTCTTGGCTGAGGAGCTGGGGGCCGTGAGTACAAAGTAATTGGTGCCCAAGGTGGTGACAGGTCGCAGCACTGTCACTTCCGCCGTGCTGGGCTTTCTGCTGATGGCTTGTACGGAAATGGTATGGTCTGAGCGGACCACCACTGCATGCTTGAAGATTCTGCTACCTATCATCTCAGCCTGAGAGCTGATGTTGACCATGACCGACTGCCCAGGCTTCACGGTGACCTTCTGCAAGGAGTTGTCTGTCCGGCTGAGGACGGAGACCGCGGCGGGGCTCTCAGACAGACTGGAGATGAGCAGGTTTAGGTAGGCTGCGTCGTACCCTGGCTGGTAGTTCTGCAGGAAGGCTGTGAGGAATTCCGTGCCTGCAGTGGTCCCGAGGCCCACAGAGGCCTCCTGGGTCAACCCTGGGGTGAGAAAATGCAGCTGAGCTTATCCATCCTCTCCATCAGATAGCCAGCCGGCTGCCTGGATAGGTTTCTGAAGCTGTAAATCTTTATGGAAGTAATTGCCCCATCTTCCTCCCCCAGAGCATCAGGTGGGTTTGAACCACTGACCTGGTTAGCAGCCATATGCCTTACCCACTACGCCACAGAGCTCCTTTGTTGAAATACTCACTAGGGCTTCTTCTCTTTCCTTTTTATTCATGCAGAATTCACCTCTGAGCCTTTCGGGCTTTTGTTTTCCAAAAGCCTGAACACTTGAGACAGTCTCAAACTCAAATGCAGAGTGGGCCAAGCAAGTAATACACATGTGTGAAACAGTGCAGGTGGGGATTGTGGAATCAGGGGAGCTCCTGTCCCCTCTGAAGTGGGCTGTTGCTACTCACTTTTACCCCCTGCCATCAAGTCAACTCTGACTCAGCGACCCCATGTGTGTCAGACAGAACAGTGAGTCCTGTTGTTGTTGTTGTTATGTGCTGTCGAGTCGGACCCAACTCATAGAAACCCCTCCTTGGGTTTCCGAGGCCTCCCCACCCCACTCCCAGGCCCCCTGACAGCCAGTTATCACTACGGAACATTGCCCCATGCCCCATCATGCTTCCAAAGAATGCTTTCAAAGAACGGATCCTCAGGCCCTTCTTCCAAGGAGCCACTAGGTGCACTCGAACCTTTCAGTCAGCAGCCAAGGTATTAACTGTCCT